TCAGAAAACATTGTAAGTTTCTCAGAATATACATTTAATATTAGAATCATTTTTTCAATGATTTCGAAACGATTAGTTTGAAGCAGTTCTGAGCTTAAGAACTGTAAACCCCTCCCTTCCATAAGCCTACTCTTCTCTGATTGGTCAGCTGGCCAAGTCTGTTGTGATTGGTCTTTCCGTATACAATGCGTGTCAGAAACTAAACGTCCATTACCATAATTGAGTTTTTGCTCCGGAGGGTTACTTGTAAACAAAGATAGGGTGACCAGACGTCCCATTTTTCCTGAGACAGTCTCGTATTTCAGCTCTAATTTAGTGTCCGGACTTATTTTGAAAAAATCATGTTTTGTCCCGTATTTCCAAATATCTTTACGACTGGGTGATCAGAGCAAGTAGTAGAAGTGTTCTCTCACGTGAGAACAGCCTAATCAAAGGTAACTAAGCTTGTCGTAGGACAAAATTACCATCCAATCACAATTTGTTATCGATTGCAGTAAGTGAAGCTGGGATAGATAGGAATCACGCTGAATGACACACAGAAGCGCTCTCTCGGCCGCTCGCTCTCCCAGTTCTGCGATCAGTTCTCCTTGGGCCTTTATTGTTAAATACACACACATCTGTCACAATCTCCATCATGTGGAGTATCTCACGTAAATACAGTCGGTTATGGCTTAAGTGAACGTAAACAGGTGGGTGAAAACCGGATATATGTATCAGTATATTACATTCATTCAGTCTTAAAGGGACAGCAGCCTAATTAAATACCTGTCTGTCTCATTAATGTTAATCAAACAACAAAAGATGTTAAATAAATGTATAGCCTACATGTTAAACCTACTGTATTAGAAAATGAGCTAATTTAATATTTAACTTGTATCTATTGTATTTGTCTTATGGTTTGTAATTTGCTTCTTTATATTTATGTAATAAATAATTATGTACATGTGATGTGTGTGGGTGTATACATATATCATTTAGATATCATGAAATAAAATTTCTCATATCGTGGTCATATATCACCCCCCTTCCCCCCGTCGCGTATTGAACCATGAGAAATCTGGTCACTCTAACAAAGATGCTATAAGGTTACAAAAATGGCATCGATATTACCTTATCAATTCGAGCCAGAGTCCGAGGATGATACCGATGCTCAACCGGAAACTCCATCGCAAGCAAGACTTTATTAGGATATTTCTCAGTGGTAAGCTTAAACTTTGCATGTGGTACTTTACGTGATATGACAGCAGTTTTATTGCATTCATTATTATTATTATTTACTTATTTGAGGTGCAAGTGTGGCAACTGTGTTAGTATGCTGAGTGAGGCTGAAAAACACTGCGTCTTCTCGACATGATGTAAACACACTAACTAGCGGAAGTGTTTGTGGGCAGGTCAGAGTGTTCATATTTCGCGGGCAGGCAGGTATTATACAAATGTGTTACCTTGTGACGTATACCGGTAACAGGCAGAAGATTCGAAAATATGACGACTCGTTCAGGCGGTTCAGAGTCGACTCTTTCTTTTGAGAGACAATATATTTATCATGCACTTTATTGATTAACAACGTTGCAGACTGTTTACATTGAAGGATAGCTATGTTACAAACTGCAAAAAATATATTTTTTGAAAACCCATATGACCTGCTCTTGAAGAGACTACTTGGAATATATATACTTTTGAAATGAATTTGACATACTGAAGGACCATTTAAAATCATGTAATAAAGGCAAAAAGCTGTTCAAAAAAACTTGCTGGGCCTAAGATATACAATTTCCTATGTACATTCATCTAAATTTGAACTTAAACATCAAGCTACTTTGAAGCAGTTGTTGCTGATCTACATTTCTGCTGATATGAATGATGTTTGTGAGTGATATTGTCTCTATATTATGTGTCTCTCAGGCTTGACTTCATCTATGACCTGTTTGAGCGTGTTGGTAGCAGGAATGGAGATGAGACGCTGAAGATGGGCACTGCCCGCCGCAAACCCACCGTCAGCTCTCAGTTCAGGGTAAGACACAGAGTCAATGATCTGAATGCACCATCTGATGTTTTTATACAACTGTGAAACTATATTTTGAAAGAATCAGGACAAGAGTATTGAGCCATTAGATCATCAAACTCTATAGAGTGCAGCAGTCTAAATGACCCTGACTGTTAACCCTTAAAAGACAGACCAAAAAAAAGAAAAGAAAAATCCGGAACCAAGGCTGCTAAAAAAGTGGTCGGCCACTGTTGCACTCTATTGAAATCAGTTGTTAAGTCACACGTGTGTGAAGTCCTTTTAGTTTGAAACGAGGAAATGCAGCCTATGTAAAATACTCAAAATCAGTAATTTACTGGGTTTCATGACAGTTACGATGCTCCCTTAAATGATAGCTGCCTTCTCTGTTGAAAGAAACAGCATATGCTGGTTAGGTCTGTTTTGACGCATGGCAGCTGGTTTAAGCTGGTCCTGAGCAGGAGCTAGTTGCTTAGGACCAGCACCAGTTTAAACCAGCTCATAACCAGCTCAGGACCAACTTAAACCAGCTCAGGACCAACTAAGGACCAGCTTAAACCAGCTCAAACTAGCTGCCGTGCTTCAAAACATACCTAACCTAGTCTGTGGACAGTAGTCAGTGAGGCAGCTCAGTAAGTTTTGAAACAGAGATAATATACTGTATGGGTGTTCTGTTCTCATGTGTGGGCTTAATATTTTGGGTGGACATTCCAGGATATGAGTGAAAACCTAGCAGAAATTTTCATTTATTTTTCTGCACTTGTGTGACTGTATGTGTACATTGCGTGTGTGTGTTTAGTCCTTTTGTCTGTGTCCCTGTATATCTGCCCATTTGCAGGGTTACGGGGCTTTACATGTCATAACTGCCGTGCAGGGGATTTGGCAGCTGCCCCTGTACTGTGGCTCTCAAAGCCAGGGGATTACCCACAAACCGGGCACAAGGGTTTGATAGGGTCCGTGCATGTTCCCCTGTTCCCCTGTCATTAAAGCCGGCCTGGAGCCTCTCAGTCTAAGACTGTGGGACAGAGTGCCAGGTTGAAGGGTCCTTGGTGTTACTGGGTAAATACTAGCCCTGTCACTGCCCTCCTCAACAGGAGATGTGGGACGGACAAGCAAATAGCAACTGTGGTTGCTGAACGGCAGTTTTGGTGCTGTTACTTTCCTGTGCAAGGGTGTAATTTAGTGTTATTGTGACTGTGTGTTTCAGGACTCTCTTCATGCACTGATGGCCACTTTAAGTGCCTCCAACCCTTTCTTTGTGCGCTGCATCAAACCTAACATGGAGAAGGTAGGATTGACACTTTGTACTGTCTATATCACACTCAAACCATATTTACTTTCCTTATTGAGTCAAACAGACAATAAAATAAATTTTCTAAAAAAAAAACTGTCAGATGTCATTTTCAGATGAGTAGTTCACCCCAGAATGAAAGCCCATCATTGTTTATTCACCCTCAGGTCATTTCATAAATATTTCACTTTCTTTCTTCTGACAAACACGAAAGAAGAAATTTTGAATGAATGTTCATGCTGTTCTTTTCCATATAATACAATAATCAAAGAGCAACTTAAAGGAATAGTTCACCCCAAGATAAAAATTTGCTGAACATTTACTCACTCACCGTCAGGCCATCTAAGATTTATGTGAGTTTGTTTCTCCATCGGAACAGATCTGGAGAAATGTATCATTACATCACTTGCTCATCAATGGATCCTTTGCAGTGAATGGGTGCCGTCAGAATGAGCGTCCAAACAGCTGATAAAAACATCACAATAATCCACAAGTGAAGTTAAAAGCAGCTTGTTCATAATAAACAAATGTATTATTAAGATGAAAATAGTCCATGCAGTTAATGCAAACCAAATTTTTAAATTCTTCTGATTCACAGTCACATTTACCATTGCTCTGCAGAATTTTGCTGGTGAAATCTAGTGATTTCAGTAGGAATTGATCGGGAGTTTCATATAAGGGGGAAAATGTTCCCCACACACGTTTTGCTCATGTTAATGTTGGCCATGTGAATTTGCTGCACTGACCAACAGAAAGCTGCTTCGCTTGAAGGTGACTTTGATATGAGCTATGTTTTATACATCGCTACTCTATTGACAATAGACCAATAGTGACTGCACCTTTACAGTAGCTTTGTTGGTGGAAGAGACGCAAATTTTATTAATTCACCAATAACTTCTAACCCTTCCCCTGTAGCTCCAGAATCATATTCAAGCCTGTGCATAGTCAAACCCGGCACATCAAGATGTGTTCCGCAATGTTTGAGGTCAATAACATTAAGGTCCTTGCTTGTCTCGTAACTAAATATTGATGCACCAAATTTGAATTTGCAGACATGCAAATGAGATTCGAGAGCTTTCTCTGGTTACTATATGCTTTCATTGAATGGAAAATAACACCTTGAACCAAATTTGCATAATTTGCCATTTCTCCTTTTTTGTTAAATGAAAAAATCCTAATGCCTTTAGAATGGTATGAGGGTGAATAAATGGGAATTTAGATTTTTAAGTGAAGTATTCCATTATTTAAACTTCCACCCTGCAGAAAAGTAAAATACTAAAACTACTTAAACTGTGCATTAAATATCTAAATGATGGATAAAAATGGTAAGATAAGACAAACAAGAAATAATGGATTAATAATAAAAAAAAAATTATTTACCATGTTTAATTTTTTTTTCTGCTGGAAAATGTCAAAAAAGACTGATTAGGAAATCATTATTAGCAGTGCAGTGGCCAGGACAATCTGGCATCATCACATTGTGAGAAGCTGTACAGCCAGCAGCCTGTCGTGTTCTGCACTCTGTACATAGAGTCTCTTTGTGCTGATCTGCTCAGATTGGAGCAGCCCATTCCCACTGCCAGCACATTCCTGCAGCCCAAACCCGCCTGTGCTGGGGTCAAAGGTTACGGCTGTCCGCTTCAGCGGCACTGAGAGGAGTATCACACTCCTGACCTGCCGCAGAGGAATGTAGAGATAACAGCCAGAAAATCACACAGAGCCTCTACCCTTCATTATATGATACAATTGAGCTGTAATAGCGCTCATTTGAGCTCCCGTATTACTGGAATTATTATGATTGCATTGATTTATAGAGGACTCTCATTTCAGTGGGCAGAGGATCAGGTTGGTGCTTCTGATGGGGTTGTTGTATTGTGATAACTGTCCTCAGGGAGGGGAATCACGGCCGTGGCCTCGTCTGGCGCTCTGCCTTGCTCCCTCTGACATTCCACACCTTTTCTTCTATCATTTATGCCACTTAACATCTCACCTCACTCCGGGCTCCTAAAGACAATTGTGATACTGCGTACTTCATGTCTGACCCAGGTTTACTGCCCAAATTACTGGGAGACCAGAAATATACCTCAGACTCTTGTCACATTAGCCTGACATGACTATTTCAGTTCAGATTGTGCTGATTGAAATGAAGGACATGGCAAAAGGCAATAGTGGAACA